TTCATTTCCTCAACAGTACTTTCCTCACAAGACCTAAACAAGTAAATCATGGCCTTGGACAGTGACAGTTATGATTACATACACTTTAATGAGACTCACAGCAGCGAGACCGAGTATGACATTAAGATATCAGAACTTTACTATCCTGCTGCTGTCAACAGTCTCGTCTTCTGCATCAGCCTGCCTGCAAACAGCTTCCTGCTGTGGGTCCTCTGGACGGAACGAGCTTGGAAGATCACATCGGATATTTTACTTCTTCAGCTCACAGTTTCTAACCTCTGCCTCACTGTGACATTGCCTTTTGCAGCCTGTAATGCACTCCATACGTGGGTCTTTGGAGAGTGGGCCTGCGGAGTAGGTGTAGGGATTTATTTTCTGGGACTATTCACCGCCGTGGTGATCCTCACTGCCATGTCTTTGCATTCTTATGTTACTGTGGTTCAGCCTTGGTGCTTGTCTGCACAGGCCTTAACAAAATATGGTGTTCTCATAGGTAGCATTGTGATGTGGCTGGTGTGTGCTGCTGCAAGCATTAAACTGGCTGTGAGTTGTAGAGTCATCGAATTTGCTGACATGAAAGTGTGTGTAAATTTTGTGGAGTCACTAACCATGAAACTCACTGAAATCTACACACAGATTTTTCTTTTCTTTCTCATTCCTGTCCTTATCACTTCATTCTGTTATGTTCACATGTGGATAATGGCGAAGCAGGGCAGGATAAACAGCCAACAACAGCCTTCAAAATTGATTTTAGGCATAACTGTCAGTACTTTTCTATGTTTGGCCCCTTATAGCATCCACATGTTTATACAGTCTTTGCTACTATTGGATTTTTATGAGTACACACATGAACTGATATATGCATTGCACTATGCTTGGTTGATCATTCATTCCATCATTCACATCTACTGCTGCTTTATCCCTTTGGTGCATTTAATAGGAGTACAAAGGTTTAGGAGGTATCTTCCCATGCCGTGCAATACATTATCACTGTGCAGAGATGAGACTAAAACTGACAGTCCAATGGCATTAATCCCT